CGAAAGTTCGAGGTGCCAATTCTCTCAAGAAAATCAGAGGGGATTAAAGGCCTTCCGAACAGATAATTTACCGAAACGATCCGTTGGGTGCCCCTGACCCTGCGAAATCATAACTTGTAAGTTTTCCCCTTTGTTTATATTTCGTGTCAGCCCTTTCTTACCGTCTAGGTGTAGCTTTATTGTGATCTAAACAGTTGTCGGAGCGCGTGTAAAAAATTCTTAGCCATTAAATTAGCACTTTCGGGCTCTTTGAACGATGAAGGGCGACCATGCAACCATGTCAGAGCCCGCGTTTCCTTTGACTAGCGGTTCGCGTCATTTGTAAGTCTGTGACGTCATTGTCAGCGTTTCGGACATAACACTCACGCGACAGCCACGCGAGAACCCACGCGCAAGACACTCAAGGTCACGGGTAATCATGTCAAGTTCGCGCGCTTTGTGTTGCTTGAAATCGCTGAAGAAGCAAAAACATGACTGCCAGTTTTTTCGTTCAATGTATAATAAAACAATTATTGGATGAGGTTTTTGTGATATCCAGAATAATCAAGNTCAATTTAAAACTGCAAAGTGGCCGAACGCATTATCGTTTATTTTTTATTTCAATTCGTGCCACTAAAATAATTACAAGTAAACACAAAATAATATTTAAATTCCTAAAAGAAAAGCCAAGGGATAATCTGTAAAAGAGTCCAGGACCCCATATAAAAGCAGATCACCGAATTGATAAGAATTACATATTATATCTAAGTAATACTCAAGTGTAAAAAGCAAAAGTATTTAAAACTGGAGTTAGAGTACTCATAACTCCATGAAAAACCTGTTAGCTCTATCCTTAAACATATTTACATTCGTAGCACTACGAGTTTCTATTGGAGGAAGATTCCAAGTATTCGATATTCTGTGGAAAAAAAAATACATGTATACAATACATTTGCCCTGGCATATTTAACAAATAAAGAAGCCTGAGCCGTGTATTACACTGTGATAAAACAAGATGGGCATTTGAGAACACGAGGGAAATGTAGAAAACACGAGCCGCAGCCGGAGTGTTTTATCACAGTGTAATACACGGCTTAGGCTTCTTCATTTACCTTATGATATAGAAGTAATGTGGCGAAAAACAATAAAACACGCTTTTTCTGTTTTATTCTCGGATAAAACATGGCTTTTCGACCAATCAGAGCGCGCACGGGATCCTATCTATGTTATAATTCTTTTTTAAAGCATAGTTTTTCCTATGCCTGAGGTAGTAACGGACCCCTCTGAACTCAACGCAGCTCAGTTGCTTTTGGCAAAATAATCTCTTGTCCTAGGCCTGCATGTGGCTTAGACGTGGATCTTTTGAATGTGTTAAGTGTGTTAAAAATCTTATGTTGCATTAGGAACTTGTATTCATTATCAACAAACACACTGTGGCCGCAGCTGGCAAAAACGTTAATTATCTTTAGGCAATAATTTGCTTATCACTTTCACGGGTATACCATTTAAATCTTGCCGTGCTCCACTCCTGTTATTCACCAGGGAAGGAGGAAATAAGTCATGATATCTTCCGTCTTCTGTATAATAAAATAACATTTTAAAGTCAGTAATAGGTGCCTCGAATTCAAATATTAGGCTGATCAGTAGCAAGAGAGCGGGAACGTCACTTGACGACGGCGCGCGCAGTACAAATACCCAAATATGGTCAAATAAGAACAGAATCCAGGTTATTCCACGCGCCCTGCAGTCGTCATCTGACGTTTCGGTCCTGTTGCTAAATCAACGCGAACGCACTGGGAAAGTCTCCAGCCCTCGATATTTTTCTAAAAGCAGTGGTAATCAATGGTCAAATTTAATCACCAGGCTGTCTTCTTTAAGCCACTTTTAATCTACAACCTTCCAACAGCTGTTTATGACAGACAATAGGCTAATGGACCGAACGTTATTAATGCTGTTTATTTATGCGCTGTTGACATCCTGTTTATATTAACTATTTTTTTTTCCAAGCACACAACACTATCTTACTACGACTTGAAGCGTGCCAAGTGTATGCAAAGATGCCAAACGAATCCAAAACTAATTTTTCATGTTACTCGGACATCGAGAACGAAAACTCTGGTCTTGAAACCATTGTCATCATAAATTGTGTACTGAATGCTCCATTGATGATCTTAGCAATCTCTGGCAACGCGCTGGTGTTAGTCGCGGTATTGAGAGCTTATTCACTCTTTCCGCCGTCCGTAACTTTGCTCTGCAGTTTGGCTATGTCAGACCTGCTTGTTGGACTTGTTGTACAACCTCTTTACATCGCTAATGCACTGACGGAAAACAGTACACTGAAGCAGGCACTCAATACAACCGTCTTTGTGGTCTGTGGTGTTTCCCTGTTGACAATGGCAGTCATAAGCGTCGACCGGTTCTTGGCCCTTCACCATCACATGCGATATCCGGAGTTGATGACTACACACCGCGCCATCTTTACAACAGCAACTCTTTGGATCATCGTCTTCCTGTTGTCATTTTTAAACTTCTGGACTATCAACGCTTATTATTTGGCTTCAGCAGTCAGTATTTTAATTTGTCTGTTAGTTTCCACTGTTTCCTACATTAAAATCTATTTTATTGTCAAACACCATCACTTACAGATTCACACTCAACAACAGGCTGTGGAAAGTAATGCTACAGATATTAACCAAACCATGTTACGATCCACCAAAAGTGCCAAAAATACGTTTATTTATTACACCGTAATGATTTCGTGCTATACCCCGGTGTTTGTTGCCATGGCGATATTATTTATTTCCCCTTCTCACTGGAATGAAGGGTGGACCTTCGCAGATACTGTAGTCTTTATGAATTCGTCCATCAATCCAGTTTTGTATTGCTGGCGTCTTCGCCAGCTTCGAACAGCAGTTGTAAAGATAGTAAGGCAGCTTTTAGGTAAACAGACAGAAGAAAACTAGCTATAAACATACCCACCGTGCACTCCGCTTCAGCAGTCACTGAATACAACCATGTGAGGATTTGTCGACAACTTAAACCCTTTTCACACCAATATGTTTAACATGTTTAAACGTGTTCAACAGTAAACAAGGTTAAAAACCTGTTTGATTAAAATATGGTAGCAAGGCGATTTGAAATTTTTCTTCTCAAAATGACTACAAAGTGTTACTGATAAATTGGAAAAGCCTAAACCTTATTTACGTAAACTAGTTTAGCCGGTGTAAATGGGGGTATTAAACGAGCTGTCATGCATTGTCAGCGGTTTTGGACCATGCGCAATAACTTGTGTTGAGATATATTTTCCCGCAGTTTTTCTTCTGGTCCAATCAAACCCGTTTCTAAGCCCATCAAAGGGTACGCGCGGGAGGTCTGATATTTCCAGGTCGAAATAAAATTAGGCAGGTGACTGTCAAGAGAAAATGCTAAAAACTTGTCATGACAACCCGAAAATAAATCTTTAAGAAGATCAGAATTGGACAGTAAATTGTCAAAAGGTGTTTTGTTCAGTTTGCTAGAGTTGTCAAATACGTTAATTTCCGTTAGACCGAAAATCACTTATTCGAATAAACAGTTAATTGCAGGCGTCTACACTTGTCTAATGTGTTAATTTTGTAGTGTAATTTATTCTGGATTTTGATGTTATATAATTGACAGAAACGCCATCAACGCAGCTGTCCAGTGTGTCTAGAATGACCAATGATACACACTCGTGGAAAGCGAGCTAATCGACTATGATTTGGCCCTTTTTCAACCATCAATTAACAGCCATTTAAACAGCCATCCATGCGGAACCAGCAGGCCGATCTGATGCTAACGCAAAACCTAAATATGGTTTTGAAGCTCTTTTACTGAAGGATAATATTCGTTTCAAAGCTGTTCGTTTTAAGCGTAAACGATCTCCTAGAGGGTGTGCGAAGATGACAATCGTATCAGAAACGAATTATTCAAGCAGTGGAGGCAATCCGGTTCGTCGTGAAACTATTATCATCATAAATTGTGCTCTGAATGCCCCATTGATGCTCATATCAATAATGGGAAACCTTCTGGTGTTAGTCTCCATATTAAGAACGCCTTCGCTTCGTTCACCGTCCATAACTTTGCTCTGCAGCTTGGCCGTTTCCGATTTTCTTGTTGCGATTGTCGTACAACCACTTTACATAGCAAGCGAGCTTATAAAAAACAGATCGTTGAAGCAAGCGATGGACACGATGGCTTTTGCTTTATGTGGAGTGTCTCTTTTAACAATGACAACCGTTAGTGTAGATCGCTTCCTGGCTCTTCATTATCACATGCGATATCCGAATCTGATGACTGCACATCGCGCTATGTCTACATCAGCTATGCTTTGGTTTATAAGTTTCCTGTTAGGTCTTTTAGCTGTTTGGAACATGAAGGCTTATTGCTTCTCTGCACTTTTTGTAATTGCCATCTGTGTTTTAGTTTCCACTGTTTGCTACATCCAAATCTATGGGATTGTAAAACAACATCAGATACAGATTCACCTTCAACAACAGGTCGTGAAAACTACTACAACTGGAAATGACCAGATTGGAAATAATCAGATTGGAAAAAATCTGAGAGTGCAGCGAACGGCTAAAAGTGCTAAAAACACTTTTATTTATTACGTGGTAATGATTTTATGTTACACCCCTGTGTTCATTTCCTTGTCAATTTTATCCGTTTCACGCGATCTCTGGGGAAACGCTTGGACATTTGCAGAAACCGCAGCGTTAATGAATTCGTCCATTAATCCATTTTTGTATTGCTGGCGTCTTCGCGAACTTCGAAACGCCGTGTTAAACACAGTAAGGCAGATGTTATGTAAAAAGACAGAAGAAATCTAACTAACGCAGCGGTAAAGTATTTACATGTCTATTCTCCTTAGCGGTAACAGAAACGACATTCAATAAAGTTCTTAACTTTCTCAAGCCTTGACAATCAGTGCTGCAACCGGGGTTATTCAGAATTTTTAACTTGTTCGCTTGTGATTAATTCAACGTTTCTTTCTATTCTAAGCCCATCGAATTTGAAGACCATGATCGTTCGGCCTGAATAAGATCAAAGTTCACTTCAAAGCAAATTGGCCTAAGTAGAGTTCGGAAAAACCTAAACTGACTTTCAGTCGAATTTCTCGCGCACTTTTTCTAAATAACACTGTTCAGATTCGCGTTCAGTTTTTCTCTCATTTGGAACGGCCCTCGATAGACCAAGTTCTCGATGCTGCCATCTTGGATTGTACTGAACTGGGTGCTGACCGGTAGCAGGCTAGCTTTACTGAGTGAAAAAAAAAAAAAAAAATGTAAACGTTTTAATTGCGGTAGAAGGTGCTTGCTCTCCCGTCTCCAATCCCATATTCTGTCATTCACTATGGTGGTTTTTGTATCACTGAAGCAAAATGATTGTTAGTTTAGTCCGTGCCTTCAAAGTACAAAGAATGATGCGGCTGTGTTAAATGTTTGTTGTTATACTTCCCAATTCAAATACGTTTTCCGATTGGAGGAGAGCAAGTCACCTGTCGTGAGTCAAAACTCATAATATAACTACCCACTCACTCCCTAAGGAAACAACTTGAACTTTCGACTCACACGTGATCAGATCGTGCACCTTGAAACCGCGGAAAATTTGTGAGTCAGCAGGCGTCAAGCGAATAATTTTATCCCAGTTCGTTATATATCAGTCAGTTGAATTGAGAGGTACAACAAAACACTGAGTTTTGTACGGTGTTAAGGAAACAAAACTCACTGTCTCCCTTGATGCCAGTCACTGAGTGCTTCAGTTATCTCCATTTGCTTTATAGGGGAAAGTACGCCGTTGTCAAATCCTGCTCAGATAAGAAAACAAGGAAACAGCTGGTGGCCAAACTGATCAAGTACGATCAAGAAACCGAGAAGAACACGAAACAGGAATTTGATATAATGAAAACTTTTAAGCACGACAAACTGCTGACAGTTAAGGATGGATTTATTGTTCAAAAATACGTGGTCATTTTAATGGATCGGTGAGTTGATCTCGGGAACTGTTTCGGATGAGGTGTCAACACTTCGTTCCCAGGTCTCTCTTCCTCCCATTCCCTGTCAAAACAAGATATCCAGTATCCAGTAGACCAGTATCACGTGACCATTCTCCGGCTCAGGTTTAGACCTCATCGAGGTCACGTGTTTTTTAAGTTGACCGCAGCCCAGGTACTACTTTTCGATGGATCGCAGGCTCAAGCCGGGTTACTTTATTGTAATCAGGAACTCTTCTTTTAGGCTTGGCTAAATCTATATATTATTCAAAGAGCTGGCCCCAGTTGTTCGGAGACTGGATAACGCTATTCACTGGATAAATCGCTATCCAGTAGATACGTGTTTACAAAACACACCACGCTATCTGCTGGATAGGTACTTTATACGGTGAATACTGTTATCCACCTTTCGACCAACCAGAGACTGACGTTTCGAGTGGAAGCTGTGCATCAAATTAAAGCAAATACCTTTTTTTTTAGCTCATTGCTCTAGTTTTATTGTGCTTCTGTTTTGATCCCTGAAGTCACGACTTGTGTTTTAGGGTCGAGGGAGAAGAAGTACTTGAATTCCTTGGAGACAAAAGTAAAGCGACCGAGGAGGACGCATCTCTGGTCATCGCTCAACTTGTAGAGGCTCTCTGCTATCTACACAGACAGAACGTAGTACATCTGGATATAAGGGTAAGAAAAAAGGCGGGAAAATGACTTGGCGTTCGTCAGTATCAGGCAAAGTAAGTGAAAAAAAAAAAGCGGGAAAGTGACTCGACGTTTGCCGGTATCAGGCAAAGAAGTAAAAACGGCGGGAAAAGACTGGTAAAAAAAACGGGGAAATGACTCGAAGTCTGTCGGTATCAGGCAAAAAAAGTGAAAAAAGGAGGATGGGGAAATAGATTAACGTTGATCACTATTTGAGGAACGTGAAATAATAGGGGGGGGGGCATGAGTTTCCTTAGCGGTCAGTTTCAGGTAAGAGTCAGACCATAGTAGAGTGTCTCGAGTAGAACCATCTTAGTCTCTTGGTAGAACTTAACAGCTGAAAAAACTAAGTCAAACTTTCAATTTGTAATTTGACTAATTTAGCGGATTTCAAAACACAATATGTACTTTGCACTAAAAAAAATGTTCTCCTTTCCTTTAAATTCCAACAGCCTGCGAACCTTTTCGTGTCCAAAGATTTCAAACTGACATTAATCGATTACGGAAATGCAAGGCAGCTCCAGTACCCCGATGGTCAGCTAGTCGACGCGGTCGGAGTCACGGAGTTTACAGGTAACATATAATGAGAACTTTTTCTTAGAATAATTAGCAGTGGAAACTTGAAGGAGAATTGGAACTTTTAAGCTTAACTTTGTTCTTGTTATAAGTCCAAATTATTTGCTCCTTCTCACGACATTTCGACCCACGTTTCCTGTATACTTGGACAATTTATTATCGCACTTACAGAACATTTACCAGCGTCTGTTAAGTAGGTTTTTTTCTCCATTTCAGCACCCGAGGTACTCAACTTTGAAATGACCCACTGGGGGGCTGACATGTGGAGCGTGGGAGTGCTCTTGTACATATTGTAAGTCCTGTTTAAGGCCCTTTGTTTACCAGGTGCTTGAAAAATTGATTGATTAACTCTAGATGCTTACAATGAAAATTGTTAGTTTTCACTTTCATGCCATCAAAAATAAAGATGACAACCATTCAATACATTAATTAATAGTTCAATGAAAAGTTGATGGATAAAGAGATGGATTGATTGATTGACTGATTAATTGATTGACTGGCTGACTGACTGAAGGACTGATTGACTGACTGATTGATTGATTTATTGTTTGATTGATCGATCGATCGATTGATTGATTTACTGATTGATTGATTGATTAATGACTGACTGACTGACTGATTGACTGACTGACTTACTGATTGGCTGTTTGACTTACTAATTAGACTGATTGACTGACTGACTGACTGACTGACTGATTGATTGATTGATTGATTGACTGATTAACTAACTGACGGACTGAATGGAGACTGATGGATTGATTGATTGACTGTTTGACTGAATGACTGACTGATTGAATGATTGACTGATTGATGGATTGACGGATTGACTGATCGATCGATCGATCGATTGATTGATTGATCGATTGATTGATGGATTGATGGATTGACTGACTGATTGATTGACATGCGTCCCCAGTTTGAGTGCTACGGTGCCATTTACTGTAGAAGACACCGGAAGTGATGAAGATATCGACGAGAAAGTTGCTGCAAAAGTCAGAACGGCGGCTTTCGAAATGCCATCCACCTTGTTTCGAAACGCTACGCAAGAAGCTGAAAACCTCATCAAGAAACTTCTAGTTAGACAGCCTGAGTAAGTTTGACAACTGAAATTTTAATCCTCTGTGAAAATTTATGAGCCCGCAGTCCCAAAAGGAGTTGCATAGCAACACAAACTTTTCAGACTATGACAAGCTGACGTCACTACTTATGGAGTTTCAACTTTTTCGCTGGTTGATCAGTAAGAAACGAAACTTTTTGAGTACGTACTCTACTGAACTAGTAGCAAAATATTTGGACTCAGGATTTGTTTGTTGAATTGGAGTCGGGAAAACTCATCAGCCCCAAATAACGCACCAAAAACGTAAAAACAGTGTGCTGTCCTAGCTAAAGGGCACGCAATACCAGGGGAAATCCAGTGGGGGTGGGGAGTGGGTACCTTCCACGGTTGACGGTTAAAAAATATAGCTTTCAGCTGGCTGACTGATAACGTTTTCGGTTGTTTTATGGTTGACGAAAATTTTTTTCTTAGTTGATGGTTATATTTTGGGCCTTTTGACGGTTGACGGTTGACGGTTAATAAAGCGCATTGAGACCCCCTACCATCCAAACGTTCTTAAATCTGCCTCAGAAGTCATAAAACGGTGGACAACAAAACCTTACGAAATAGAAAATTAAAAGAAGGATATTTTATCCTCTTTTTTATTTATCATTTTCTAATCAGGCTAATACGTTTTTCCCATTTTAGGAGACGACCGACTGCGGAAGCTTGTTTGGACGATCCTTGGCTTTCAGTAAGCTCTTTACTTATCACTGTTTACTAATGACGCTATTGTAATTTTCATGGGTAAAAACTAGGGATGGAGTGGGGCGAGGAGATTAGAACTCTATACTCTTTGGCCCCTTCCGCACCGACTCCGGAAGAAGTTGACGAAAACGGAGATTTCACTCTGAAAACGCATCCAGTGTTCACCGCCCACACTACGCCGGAGCAATTTAAAAAAGCAGCAATCAACGGTCATTTTTGAATTTGTGTTTGAGGAAACCTCGGTCAGGGAAATCACATGGTTATCGTGACGACATCGTTTTCGAAAAGCTCCGTTTTCAAAATGTTTTTCGTCCACACGAAAACGAAAAGCCGGCGTTTTCCAATTCCTACTGTTTGGAGAACGTTTTCGAAAAACTCCGTCTTCGTGACGGATTAGTGTGGACGGTAGGCCTAACCGTAGAAATAAGGCAGCGTTTTCAAATTCCTCCGGCGTATTGTGGACGGGTACTACGTGTACCGGACAGGAAACCTCCCAGGGGTGAGGGGGGGGGGAAGTTTCCACTCGAACTTATTGACATAAAAAATGCAACCAGTGCAGAAAGTATTATACTTTTCATTTAGCCAACACAATGCCATTCGTGACCATTCTTAACTGTCAAAGCCTTTTTAACCTTTCTTTAAACTGCTTTTCTCTTTAAATCTGCGGAATGTAGCCTTTATTTTTGCCTCCTAATGTGGCTGACTAATTTGAAAAATGTCTATTTTCTAAATGGTCTGTACAAATCTGATTAATTGTCTATTTATCTTTGTTAGCCCATTCTTACCCAGAAAAGGAAGGCTTCGGAGATACCAGCTCCTAAATTCAAGGCTCTGAACGAACAGCTTAAACAAGCGGTGAGTCAGCTGAGATCCTGGGCTCTGGATTTGAACGGACTAAGATCTGCTTAGAAGCTGACAGTAAAATCGTTGAATCGATTTCGATACACTAAAGGAGCTCACTCACGGAATTTTGAGTTATTTTGGCCATGTACAAAATTATCTTTAAATTGAAGGAAACCTGAAAATAGTAGTTTACTAAGATAGAAAAACACCAGAGAAATAATAATAAACCACCAAGGAGCAGGGATGGTTAAGGATGGAGAAGATTAACACGGATTACAAACGACGAACTTGAAAAATTTAGACTAAACTTTTCAAGAAGCGCAAACCGTGACGTAGCTCCTTTACCCAACCCGCTATCTTAGTGAAAAAATTCTATAAAAATATTCCAAGACCTGAAAACTAGATATAGCTAACTAACTTTTCAAAGAGATAGATTCCTAGCTGAAATGTCAACGTTTAAATATTTTAGTCTTACTATTTCCGATTAGACTGTTAGACAAGAAGAAATAGGAATCATCTCTTTGGTCAACAAAAATTATTCCGATTGGGGGGGGGNCTTGCGATATTTTAACAATGTTGGTTAAGTGGTTTTGTTTGCATGTTGAAACTGAGCTACTTGACGAGGAGTGGTTTCTAAATCCTTTATTTTTTCCTGATCTTTATAGGAGGAAGATGAGCTGGTCGTTGCTTCGTGTGTTCTTCGCTCTTTTGACGAAGATGCCTACGACTCTCCCGATGAAGAGGACGAATGAAACGGCTTTCTCCTAAAACAAACTTGAACTGCTGGATTTATTATTCTACAAACGAAACATTAGAGAATTACTTTCAAACGAGGAAAAAGAACTTTACAGCCTCCGTTCCCCTTGACCAGCGGCTAGTTGAAAAATGATCGCTGGACAGGGATAACCAGGTCGCCACATCATGAAATTGAAAAATAATTTTATACCGAGAGATTATTATTAGTATAGGCAGGTTTCCTTTGTATTTGTTTCAAATGGTTCAGAGTCGAAAAGTTTAGCATTTTACCAATGAAATAATAGAAAAAAACTTGCAAATCGAGTTTGTCAGCAGCTTGACGAGGCTTAATTTCTTAGCTCAGGGGATTATTAGGTACACCTCTTCTCTTAAAGGCGACAATTTGTGTAACCTGTAAAGGAACAATTCCAATTCCAATTGTGCCTGCAGGGAATCATGGTAGTTACACTCATCCGCCATAACTCTGAAATTTAAAACGCGCTGGTTTCCAAACGATGGACGCTATTGAGCTGGAAAGTTGTAAACCGATATAAATTAGTACCTCTTATGCCTGATGAGGATAAAAACTTTGGTGGCTCTTTAGTTTAGGATTTAAGAATTTGATGACGTCACGTGTAAACGTTCTATACAACTACCGTGATTCGCTGCAGGCGCATCTCATGGAGAAAACTGGCCATTTTAGTTAGTCACCAAGACCCAGAAACAGGTTGCGTAACAGCTTAACGGCTAAAAGGGTAGCGAGAATCGGTGCAACGAATGCATGTTTTAAGTTTTTATTGTGTATCTGTCGAGGTAGTGTTAGTGCAGGTTTAACGTAGTGCTATTTAGGCTAACTGAGACTTTGAGATAATAAAAGATCAAATTCGTTCGTGTAAATTAGAAGTTTTAAGCTTCGTCCTTCTTCAGTATGTTCAAATGGGAGAGCCACGCCATACAAAAAAACGAAAAGCGCGCATGAAATATTATGGTGTTAACAAAAGCGGCGTGCTGTGCCACATGAAAACCATCAGATAGTTTTTTAGTATGAACATGAAACAGTTTGGTAGCGTAAACTACCTGTAGTTTGTAGTTTTAAAACCTCATAAGAAAACGGCTGGATCACTTGGCGAAAAAAAAAAATAATGTAAGTTCACAAAGTTTGCTATTAGAGAGAAAGACATCACAGTAAAAATCTGACTTCTTGATGAAGTTATCTCCCTTTTAACCGCTGGTCACAATGCTTGTAGCTTCACAAACGTTTCCAGTTTGCCTCGGTTCGAACTCAGTTTCATATCATGGTTAAATTTTGTGATTATAGATAGGGCTATTAACAGCGGGGTTCGGTAGTTCATGCAGACTGGTTCTCGAAAAGCAGTTAGCAACTTTTAATTGTTAAGTTTGGTTTTGCTAGCTGGAATCCCTATTTCTAGACGTTTTTGACTGTGGTGCGAAAACAACTTACAGGGGCCTTCAAAGTATCAAGAAACATTTGCGTGAGAACACTGTGTGAGAACTGGTTGTGAGCGTTTGTCTTGCGGTTTTCAATTGAGTATCGTATGACCAAAACCAAAGCAATCACTCTGGCCAATCACAAAGCACACAGACAGTCTAACGAACCAATCAAAACTCAAAGTAAATAAATGAAGCTGACGCGAAGCGCGGTAAAACGCGTGCGAAGGTGGCAAGTTGGTTTTGGTTTTACTCAGTGATTGGATGAAAATTGGCGCGTGTTTTGTAAGCCAATCGTATAGTGATGCAAAACCAATTACTTTTCGAAGCTCGAGTTAAAACCACTCTAACAGAGAGCAGAAATACAAGCTTTCTTAGTAGAGTCCTATGGGACCCGTCCTCTAAAACGAAATCTATCTATAACCCATTTTGTCTTTAACGGCAGCCCCCAAACACAACTCCTTGCATACGGCCGAAGTCGACGCCAAGGAGGACCCACACGAACAGGACGGGGGTACTCGCCGTGCTTTTTGAGGTATTCAGCGATTGGATTCTAATATCGAGAGATGAAGTTCCAGGCGACAGTAGACTGCCTTGATGTAAAGACATAAACTAGCAAGGTACTAGGAAAAACGCTATTAGACCTGAAATCAGTTGAACTTCGTCTCGAGATGGGGGCCATATCAGACTAACACTGCCGATGTTTGACATCATTCTGTTTATCACCCTTTGAAGAGATGGGATTCTACCATCGAGAGATCAAGTTTTACGTTACAATTTTATATCGTGATATCCACACAAAAACTACCAAGCTACTACATAAAAAGTTATTAGACCAGAAAATTTTCACTTCGTTTCAAGCGGCGGGTCTAAAACACAATTCCCGGATCATTGTTTTACCAATACTGGAACAAGCTTAATTAACTTCTTCCTAATGCTAACCTTAGGCCTAATCACTACACTAAGACAATGTTCTGGGGCTAAATACTACACTAAGACGATGTTTAGGCTTAAGCTTAGTATTAGTAAAGGTTTAATTAAGGTTGTTCCAGTATTGGTAAAACAATCAAGCCCTTTTAAGGGTTAACAAAATTTCAAGCCACGCCCACAAAACGGGATCTTGCTACCTCTTAGGGGTTCTTTTCAAAATTTCCCACTAGCTTATCATATTGGAGACGTTCCCCGCCCCCCTCCCCCCGCGCGCCCCGCCTGGTACCGACGCTTCCAGCGTCACATGTAGATTTATCACTCAAAGTCACATTGAATATTCACGACAAAGTAATTCAAAACGCTAGAAACTACAGCAGATTATAACAAATTAAAAATATAGAGCAATTTGTGCTTTTTAAATTTAAATTAAAGCTGCGAGAAAAAAAAATTAACGTGTCGCGTTTCGATAGGACAGTACGCTGGTACTGCGGGCGCAGCCGTCCTATATAGTGCACACCGCACGATACTAGTCAGCGGCTGACTTCAACATGGAAAATCCAACATGGCGGCTCCTCCGGTTCAAGAAAAACACAACATTTGGTGAGACGATCTGTCGTTTCTTTGTTGGGATTTTAAAATAACTGTGTTTCAGACTGAACAGTAGTTCTCTTTTGTGTGTTCATAGCATGGTTTCGGACTTCTTTTTTCCCAATATGGGCGGAGTAGAGAGCCACATCTACCAGTTATCACAGTGTCTAATAGAACGAGGGCATAAGGTGAATATTGAACCTTCTTTTATATAGTGTTAAATGTGTGCGATCGAGTTGATAACGTAAAGTCAAGTGCATGTGCATTACTGCTTTCAGAGAAGGAAAACTCGGCAGTCTTCCAAGCACGGGTCTAAGTAAGGGATAAGGGGGATTCCCTTATCTCGGAGCCTATATAAGATGAAACTTCAAAGACAGTAAGCAAAGTCAGTAAGCAAAGTCAATCATTGACTTTGACTGGGTTTAACCAAGCGCGTTTTACTACATAAGGCCAAGTGGGTGATTGATTTTAAACGTATTTCTTTCCTGCTCCAGGTTGTTGTAGTTACACATGCTTATGGTGAGAGAAGTGGAGTGCGTTATTTAACAAATTACCTCAAGGTATTCAGTTCAGCTTCTTTGTAACTATGCTGAGTACATTATAACATATAGCCCCTGGTCAGTAATTATCACATTTACTTTTTTGTTGTTGTTGTTGTTTTGATCAGAGGTACATTATCTTAAAGTTGTTTTGTTTTTTTATTTGTTTTTTTGTTATTATTCCAGGTCTATTATTTACCCTTTGGTCCTTTTCATAATCAATGCGTGTTGCCAACTCTCTACACAACACTGCCGCTAATGAGATGTATACTTATACGTGAGAGGATAACCATAGTTCATGGTCATTCTGTGAGTTATGAATTGGTGTTTATGTTATTAATTTCCCTGAAAGTAACACCAAATTTGACAACCCTTTAGTAATCCTACAAAATTGCAAATATTGTTTGAAGTTGTCCTTCAGTAGCATGTTGGGTGATTAAATAGATGATTCAATTAAGGTCTTGAGCTACTGTATTTTGTTCAATTCCAAGCTTTTGCCGATCTATGGCATCGTCAGGGAATGCTGTAGATTGGCAAAAGCTTGGAATTAAAAGAAACACTCATTACAGTAGCTCAGGGCCTCAATGGAATCATAGCAAATATCGTTCTGATGTTGACCACATAAATGTACATTGTAGAAACTTTACTCTGGGAAGTCCATTTAATAAAAGTTGTTGGTAAATGATACTCAGGAATTAAAGGCTGTTAAAAATCATGGACATTAGTTTCAGGAGTTTTGTAAAGGTGTTCCCATCAGCAGTTAAACAGTGATTGACTTTCTGAGAGTACTGAACCCAATCCCCACCCCTCCATGAAATATTCATGAAAACCGAAAAGTTTTGATCTGAGAAAAAAAAATAATAATACCCCTCGCTTTTCAATAATAGTTTTCAGTGAAAACCTAAAAATACTCTTTCATTCCTTTTAAGGCTTTTTCCACTCTTTGCCATGATGCCCTTCTTCATGCTCGTACCATGGGACTTCACACGTTGTTTACTGACCACTCCCTTTTTGGCTTTGCCGATGCAAGTTCCATCATAACCAATAAATTTTTACAGTTTTCATTGGCAGACATCGATCACGTGATTTGTGTTTCACATACAAGGTTTGTCTAGAACTCTTCTGTGTCAGTGAATAATAAATTAATGCAACCATGTTCTATGTGTTAAAAGATATTTCATGGATACGGAATGGTAGCTCAGTGACCATTCTTAACCTATTAACACCAGTGCCACCCGTAACCACCCATGATGAGCATTGGCCTTCATTCCACATCTGATGTCATCACCTTTGGTCAAAATTGGCATCACCTATACTCAAGTTCTGCAGGAGGAAAAGATCTTTCCAATGATACCCAGATCAGAATGACTGGGTCAATTGAGCATGAATGTTATAAAAAATGTTATAAAACATGATGCTAGNGGGGGGGGGGGGGGGGGGGGGGGGGGGGGGGGAGGGGAAGAAGTTTGTCGATGGGCGCAGTAGCAATCTTGCGATATTTTAACAATGTTGGTTAAGTGGTTTTGTTTGCATGTTGAAACTGAGCTACTTGACGAGGAGTGGTTTCTAAATCCTTTATTTTTTCCTGATCTTTATAGGAGGAAGATGAGCTGGTCGTTGCTTCGTGTGTTCTTCGCTCTTTTGACGAAGATGCCTACGACTCTCCCGATGAAGAGGACGAATGAAACGGCTTTCTCCTAAAACAAACTTGAACTGCTGGATTTATTATTCTACAAACGAAACATTAGAGAATTACTTTCAAACGAGGAAAAAGAACTTTACAGCCTCCGTTCCCCTTGACCAGCGGCTAGTTGAAAAATGATCGCTGGACAGGGATAACCAGGTCGCCACATCATGAAATTGAAAAATAATTTTATACCGAGAGATTATTATTAGTATAGGCAGGTTTCCTTTGTATTTGTTTCAAATGGTTCAGAGTCGAAAAGTTTAGCATTTTACCAATGAAATAATAGAAAAAAACTTGCAAATCGAGTTTGTCAGCAGCTTGACGAGGCTTAATTTCTTAGCTCAGGGGATTATTAGGTACACCTCTTCTCTTAAAGGCGACAATTTGTGTAACCTGTAAAGGAACAATTCCAATTCCAATTGTGCCTGCAGGGAATCATGGTAGTTACACTCATCCGCCATAACTCTGAAATTTAAAACGCGCTGGTTTCCAAACGATGGACGCTATTGAGCTGGAAAGTTGTAAACCGATATAAATTAGTACCTCTTATGCCTGATGAGGATAAAAACTTTGGTGGCTCTTTAGTTTTGGATTTAAGAATTTGATGACGTCACGTGTAAACGTTCTATACAACTACCGTGATTCGCTGCAGGCGCATCTCATGGAGAAAACTGGCCATTTTAGTTAGTCACCAAGACCCAGAAACAGGTTGCGTAACAGCTTAACGGCTAAAAGGGTAGCGAGAATCGGTGCAACGAATGCATGTTTTAAGTTTTTATTGTGTATCTGTCGAGGTAGTGTTAGTGCAGGTTTAACGTAGTGCTATTTAGGCTAACTGAGACTTTGAGATAATAAAAGATCAAATTCGTTCGTGTAAATTAGAAGTTTTAAGCTTCGTCCTTCTTCAGTATGTTCAAATGGGAGAGCCACGCCATACAAAAAAACGAAAAGCGCGCATGAAATATTATGGTGTTAACAAAAGCGGCGTGCTGTGCCACATGAAAACCATCAGATAGTTTTTTAGTATGAACATGAAACAGTTTGGTAGCGTAAACTACCTGTAGTTTGTAGTTTTAAAACCTCATAAGAAAACGGCTGGATCACTTGGCGAAAAAAAAAAATAATGTAAGTTCACAAAGTTTGCTATTAGAGAGAAAGACATCACAGTAAAAATCTGACTTCTTGATGAAGTTATCTCCCTTTTAACCGCTGGTCACAATGCTTGTAGCTTCACAAACGTTTCCAGTTTGCCTCGGTTCGAACTCAGTTTCATATCATGGTTAAATTTTGTGATTATAGATAGGGCTATTAACAGCGGGGTTCGGTAGTTCATGCAGACTGGTTCTCGAAAAGCAGTTAGCAACTTTTAATTGTTAAGTTTGGTTTTGCTAGCTGGAATCCCTATTTCTAGACGTTTTTGACTGTGGTGCGAAAACAACTTACAGGGGCCTTCAAAGTATCAAGAAACATTTGCGTGAGAACACTGTGTGAGAACTGGTTGTGAGCGTTTGTCTTGCGGTTTTCAATTGAGTATCGTATGACCAAAACCAAAGCAATCACTCTGGCCAATCACAAAGCACACAGACAGTCTAACGAACCAATCAAAACTCAAAGTAAATAAATGAAGCTGACGCGAAGCGCGGTAAAACGCGTGCGAAGGTGGCAAGTTGGTTTTGGTTTTACTCAGTGATTGGATGAAAATTGGCGCGTGTTTTGTAAGCCAATCGTATAGTGATGCAAAACCAATTACTTTTCGAAGCTCGAGTTAAAACCACTCTAACAGAGAGCAGAAATACAAGCTTTCTTAGTAGAGTCCTATGGGACCCGTCCTCTAAAACGAAATCTATCTATAACCCATTTTGTCTTTAACGGCAGCCCCCAAACACAACTCCTTGCATACGGCCGAAGTCGACGCCAAGGAGGACCCACACGAACAGGACGGGGGTACTCGCCGTGCTTTTTGAGGTATTCAGCGATTGGATTCTAATATCGAGAGATGAAGTTCCAGGCGACAGTAGACTGCCTTGATGTAAAGACATAAACTAGCAAGGTACTAGGAAAAACGCTATTAGACCTGAAATCAGTTGAACTTCGTCTCGAGATGGGGGCCATATCAGACTAACACTGCCGATGTTTGACATCATTCTGTTTATCACCCTTTGAAGAGATGGGATTCTACCATCGAGAGATCAAGTTTTACGTTACAATTTTATATCGTGATATCCACACAAAAACTACCAAGCTACTACATAAAAAGTTATTAGACCAGAAAATTTTCACTTCGTTTCAAGCGGCGGGTCTAAAACACAATTCCCGGATCATTGTTTTACCAATACTGGAACAAGCTTAATTAACTTCTTCCTAATGCTAACCTTAGGCCTAATCACTACACTAAGACAATGTTCTGGGGCTAAATACTACACTAAGACGATGTTTAGGCTTAAGCTTAGTATTAGTAAAGGTTTAATTAAGGTTGTTCCAGTATTGGTAAAACAATCAAGCCCTTTTAAGGGTTAACAAAATTTCAAGCCACGCCCACAAAACGGGATCTTGCTACCTCTTAGGGGTTCTTTTCAAAATTTCCCACTAGCTTATCATATTGGAGACGTTCCCCGCCCCCCTCCCCCCGCGCGCCCCGCCTGGTACCGACGCTTCCAGCGTCACATGTAGATTTATCACTCAAAGTCACATTGAATATTCACGACAAAGTAATTCAAAACGCTAGAAACTACAGCAGATTATAACAAATTAAAAATATAGAGCAATTTGTGCTTTTTAAATTTAAATTAAAGCTGCGAGAAAAAAAAATTAACGTGTCGCGTTTCGATAGGACAGTACGCTGGTACTGCGGGCGCAGCCGTCCTATATAGTGCACACCGCACGATACTAGTCAGCGGCTGACTTCAACATGGAAAATCCAACATGGCGGCTCCTCCGGTTCAAGAAAAACACAACATTTGGTGAGACGATCTGTCGTTTCTTTGTTGGGATTTTAAAATAACTGTGTTTCAGACTGAACAGTAGTTCTCTTTTGTGTGTTCATAGCATGGTTTCGGACTTCTTTTTTCCCAATATGGGCGGAGTAGAGAGCCACATCTACCAGTTATCACAGTGTCTAATAGAACGAGGGCATAAGGTGAATATTGAACCTTCTTTTATATAGTGTTAAATGTGTGCGATCGAGTTGATAACGTAAAGTCAAGTGCATGTGCATTACTGCTTTCAGAGAAGGAAAACTCGGCAGTCTTCCAAGCACGGGTCTAAGTAAGGGATAAGGGGGATTCCCTTATCTCGGAGCCTATATAAGATGAAACTTCAAAGACAGTAAGCAAAGTCAGTAAGCAAAGTCAATCATTGACTTTGACTGGGTTTAACCAAGCGCGTTTTACTACATAAGGCCAAGTGGGTGATTGATTTTAAACGTATTTCTTTCCTGCTCCAGGTTGTTGTAGTTACACATGCTTATGGTGAGAGAAGTGGAGTGCGTTATTTAACAAATTACCTCAAGGTATTCAGTTCAGCTTCTTTGTAACTATGCTGAGTACATTATAACATATAGCCCCTGGTCAGTAATTATCACATTTACTTTTTTGTTGTTGTTGTTGTTTTGATCAGAGGTACATTATCTTAAAGTTGTTTTGTTTTTTTATTTGTTTTTTTGTTATTATTCCAGGTCTATTATTTACCCTTTGGTCCTTTTCATAATCAATGCGTGTTGCCAACTCTCTACACAACACTGCCGCTAATGAGATGTATACTTATACGTGAGAGGATAACCATAGTTCATGGTCATTCTGTGAGTTATGAATTGGTGTTTATGTTATTAATTTCCCTGAAAGTAACACCAAATTTGACAACCCTTTAGTAATCCTACAAAATTGCAAATATTGTTTGAAGTTGTCCTTCAGTAGCATGTTGGGTGATTAAATAGATGATTCAATTAAGGTCTTGAGCTACTGTATTTTGTTCAATTCCAAGCTTTTGCCGATCTATGGCATCGTCAGGGAATGCTGTAGATTGGCAAAAGCTTGGAATTAAAAGAAACACTCATTACAGTAGCTCAGGGCCTCAATGGAATCATAGCAAATATCGTTCTGATGTTGACCACATAAATGTACATTGTAGAAACTTTACTCTGGGAAGTCCATTTAATAAAAGTTGTTGGTAAATGATACTCAGGAATTAAAGGCTGTTAAAAATCATGGACATTAGTTTCAGGAGTTTTGTAAAGGTGTTCCCATCAGCAGTTAAACAGTGATTGACTTTCTGAGAGTACTGAACCCAATCCCCACCCCTCCATGAAATATTCATGAAAACCGAAAAGTTTTGATCTGGAAAAAAAAAAATAATAATACCCCTCGCTTTTCAATAATAGTTTTCAGTGAAAGCCTAAAAATACTCTTTCATTCCTTTTAAGGCTTTTTCCACTCTTTGCCATGATGCCCTTCTTCATGCTCGCACCATGGGACTTCACACGTTGTTTACTGACCACTCCCTTTTTGGCTTTGCCGATGCAAGTTCCATCATAACCAATAAATTTTTACAGTTTTCATTGGCAGACATCGATCACGTGATTTGTGTTTCACATACAAGGTTTGTCTAGAACTCTTCTGTGTCAGTGAATAATAAATTAATGCAACCATGTTCTATGTGTTAAAAGATATTTCATGGATACGGAATGGTAGCTCAGTGACCATTCTTAACCTATTAACACCAGTGCCACCCGTAACCACCCATGATGAGCATTGGCCTTCATTCCACATCTGATGTCATCACCTTTGGTCAAAATTGGCATCACCTATACTCAAGTTCTGCAGGAGGAAAAGATCTTTCCAATGATACCCAGATCAGAATGACTGGGTCAATTGAGCATGAATGTTATAAAAAATGTTATAAAACATGATGCTAGTGGAAAGAAGGGCATGCTGTTATGTTGCAAATGCCTTTTTGGGCAGATTGGAGCTAATTTAGCTGATAACCAAACTAAAAATGTCTAAAAATAATGTTCAAGAATGCATTTTTGCTAAAAATCCCCAGGTGTCAATGAGTTAAGGAAAAAACAATTGGGGACCATCTGAGACACTACACTGATGTTTGTAGAGTTACGTCATCAGTAAGAGGTTGTTTGAACTAACACACGTAACAGTGCTTGTAAGAATATTATAGTATGATGTGAATGTTGATTGTATGCATTTAAGAACTAATTTATCGCTTTTTTTTTTTTGCATTGTCAGTAAGGAGAACACTGTGTTGCGTGCCTCAATGAATCCTGGCATGGTTTCGGTGATTCCTAATGCTGTAGATGCTAATGTGTTCACGCCTGACATTTCGAAGAAAATTCCAGGAAAAAGTGAGTTTCCTAGACGTATTTTGACACCTACAGTGGGATGCTGATTTTTCCAACCTTCAATGTAAATTAAAATTGGTTTGAAAAATCAGCTAGTTCAAGAAAGTCTTATCATTGTCTTACCATCATCTTATCAGTCACCATTGTGGTAGTCAGTCGGCTGGTGTACAGAAAAGGGATGGACTTGTTAGCTGGAGTACTTCCCATCATGTGTGCAAACCACTCAGACATCCAGTTTATCATTGGTAAGTTTGCATAGATATAAGAAAAGCAAGCTTATAAGATAATGCGATCCATGCAGTTGGTGTAAAAAAATGTTACTGGGATTATCGCTTGAATCCCTCTGTAAATTTCAGATGTTCCTCCATTACAGCTTGTGAGGTGAGGTGGCCGTTAGTTCACTGGGCTCCAGATCAAAAAGCCTGGTTCAAACTCTAACAGTCATCACTCTGTTGTTGTCTTGGAGTGCATGTCCGGATTACCCTCTTAGTGCCACTCTCCACCCAGGTGTTTAAATGGGTACCAGCAAATTTAATGCTGGGGTTAACTCTGTGATACATTAGCATCCCATCAAGGCGGAAAACGAAATACTTCTAGGGATGGCCTGATGAGCCAGTAGGCACAAATGTAGACTTCAACCTTACTCCATTACAGTATGCATCACTCAAGCATAGAAGTAGTTTCATTTTGTCTGATTGCCTGAACAAAACTTGTCTCAATTTGTAATCTTGGGTGGAGAGGACACCTCCCGTAGGGTGTACCTCTCACAGCCAGACACTTCAGCATGGTCTCAGCCATATACAAACACAACAAACCTCTCATACATAGAGAACATCTTTCTTAAGCGAATACCTTTCTAGTCTCAATGACATCTGCTTGCAGGACCTGAGGTTATACACTGTACATCTGGCCCAAAACCAAATGCAAAGACTACAAACAGTGCTCAAATTGTCAGCCTTTAAGATATTGAATCCCTGCAACCCTCATGCTTGCTCACTCAATTTAAGTTTTCCTTGAACAACGCAATGTTGTTTGTAATGGCTAAATCAGATTATTTATGTTGTAGGTAGGTGAGAAGAATTATCTAGTGGGTTTTTACATTTGATAAATACTATTTTGACGTTGTTTGATCAAGGGATTACCATACTGAAGGTTGGGCTATTTATCTGTTGTTGTTTTTGTTGTTTAGGCGGCGATGGTCCAAAACGAGCTCTTCTGGAGGATGTATGTCAGCAGTGTAAACTTCAAGACAGAGTCCAGTTTCTAGGAAAGTTGGCACATGAGAATGTCAGGGATGTAAGTTAGGCCTCAGCTAGCATATGAAGAGGTTCCAGCCAGAAGGAAGGGCCAAAAAGGGTCTGGTCGTGGCTAGAAGGGCTGTGAAAAATTGGCTAAGAGTGAAGTAGCCTGCAGAACAGGTGGTTTAGCGGTGCAGACCGCAAAATGTGATATATGAGCATGGACCATGACCATGAGCACGAAGCAAAGCTCGTGGTTGCGCTCCACACTCATGTATCGCGTTTTGCTCACTGCCCCACTAATCTGCCTGTTCTGCAGGCTAAGAGTGAAGTAAGTAAGTGGGGATTGGGATGGCTGGAGCGGAGCTGCCACCCCTCTCTTCTCTCCTTCTTCTGAGCCCTGCTTTCTCTTTGCTCCATCCTGAACTAGACCGTCTGTTCAAAAGCTAGGCCTCAGCTAGATCATGTTGAGAATCCATTCCGTCCCAAACTAACCTGTGAGTTTTGAATTCATTTGAATCATCAGCAATCTTGACCACCCATGCTTCTTCATGAATCTTTAAATATTCCACGATTTTTTCAATATTTTAAACTTTTGTTCTGAGTAGTAACTTGCTCTAAATGTTTTTGACATTGTTTTTTTTTATGCAACCTCTGTTCATCTCTAGGTACTTGTTCAAGGTGACATCTTTTTGAACACATCATTAACAGAAGCATTTTGTATTGCAATTGTTGAAGCAGCAAGCTGTGGGTGAGTTTTGATAAAAAACATACTGGGGGACTTTTCCTGACCAGTAATTTTTGAACTACAGTGGGTACTTTCGTTTTATTTTTTTGGAGTTTGTTTATTGTTCCTAAAACTTTGCAACATTCACTAAGTGTAACTAGCTAGAATCATGGAGTCACATCATGTATTAAATGTATTAAAAGTTATAATTTTAGCCAGACCACACAGTTTGCATGCTTTCACTGATTGATACACNTCATTCACTGTCTCTAAGCCTGGGGGGAGGGTACTCCCAGAAAAATTGGGTGGGGTTGTGTGGGCCACTTTCCGAAACCCTTACCCTAGTTAGGCCCAAAATCTGCGATTTTCCATACCCAGTTTATGACCTGACCAAAAATTACACGTTTTCCCAGTTTTCCCGCACCTGCCACTAGTTACATGCTTTTGTGTACTTGCCAATTTCTGCATTTCTGCATACTTGCCATGAAATAAGCTCAATCTTCAGTTATCTTTCTCTTTATTCTTGTGCAGTCTGCAGGTTGTCAGTACCAGGGTAGGTGGGGTCCCTGAGGTGTTACCAAGTGACATGATAAAAATGGCGGAGCCAAGGGTCAAATGTAAGTGAAAGAGATAAAAAAAATCATTTGCAACCGTGGTTCATGTGTTGACCTGTGTTCAGTGACAGACACGCTTACTGCCCCAGTTTAGTGAACAAATATTTATGCTAATAGGCCTAGACTAGTCTGCAAGTATCTAGTTTTACTGCAGATGCCTCTCGAGTGCGAAATCATATTCGAAATTGTCACGCGTGTTTGAATTCTATACAGACTATACGTGTAGGTTGCCAAACAAGCTCACAAAATTTATAAGCTGTTTTGCAGTCTGGGCACGGATAGGCGGGGATTATTGTCCAAAGCAACAGGAAGAATAGCTTTGAAAGATCAGTCCCGTGCCTGTACGTTTTAGAAAACTGTTGATATTGCGTACAAATTTTTGAATCAATTTTTTGAGTGGAACATTTCAGCTCTGGTAGAAGCGCTGGATAGCGCCGTCCAAGATGCGCGAGATGGCAGATTCGTTCCACCGGACGTGGCCCATGAACGCATTCGAACCATGTACACGTGGGACAACGTTGCTAGGCGTACAGAAAAAGTAAGTTGACTGGTTTCTTTGCGCTCTGTTTATCCCGCGCCCGTGAAATTCAAATTAACAAACAACCAATCAGAGAACACGTTAGCATCTTTGGAGAGAAACTCTTAGCTTTTACAGACTTGAAGACTTGTAGTTAATAAAGGTAAATTAATCACCGTACCGAGTTAGTGAAGTGACGTGTTGAGCGTTATTCCTTCGTCAGAGCATAATATGTAATTTTTGGGTTCAATATGAAAGTGAGGAAAAGAGAAAGATTTCTGTTTACAGGCTAACAAGAGAAGAAAACAAAGAGTGCTTTGCTTTCCATTATTGTGGTCTAAGTTCGATTCCTGATAGTGAAGTGATATTTGAATTGATTGTTGTGGGTTCTAATTAGCCTTGTACTGAGTCTGATTAATATATTTTTCACTGTATCGAGGTCAGGTGATGTACTTCAGAAGTTGGTAACCTCATGGTTAGTGTGCTCGACTCCGGATTAAGCGGTCCGGGTTCGAGCCCTGGCCGGAGACATTGTGTTGTGTTCTCGGGCAAGACGCTTTACTCTCACAGTGCCTCTCTCTACCCAGGTGTATAAATGGGTACCGGCGAACTTAATGCTGGGGGTAACCCTCCGATGGACTAGCATCTTATCCGGGGGGAGTAGAAATACTCTTAGTCGCTTCATGCTGCAGAAACCGGAGGTAAGCCCCGGTCTGATGGGCCACTTGGCTCGTATGCAGGCTTTTATAATACTTCAGAGGTAACTTATCATTAGTTTATACTTGCTGTAATATTCTTGTGATAAAATTTTGTTTCTACTCGTCAGGTTTATGATCTGGTTAGAGCTGTGCCTCATGTGTCATTTGACGAGCGACTTAGAAGGTAATACACAGAGAAGTTCTCAGTCGACTGTGAAAACGAAAAGTTACCTTTTCTTCCCTTGGACTTGGCAAAGCGTTCCTTACCTGCGGTTAAAGTAGTATCAAAACGTGCTCCAATCAAAAGCAACCAACCACATGTTTTCCCGCGCTTTTACGTAACTATGCGGCTATAATGGTGCTTCTTTCATTTTTAGGTTGTACCACTGTGGCCGCGTTGCTGGAAAAATTTTTTGCATTTTAGCGGTGATCGATCTGTTTATTCTATGGCTTCTTGAATGGCTCTTTCCAAGAAAAGTATGTTTAAAATAATTTACTTCCATTCAATGTTTATTGTGGCGAGGGAATTGTTATCTTATGGCTAGCAGTTTAAAACTTATTCCTTATTCGTTTTTGCTTTGACCTTGTCAAGAGACTGAGACTGTCGTCTCGGGGAAAAACACAAAGGACAGGCAGACAAACAGACAGACAGACAGACAGATGCCCCCTTTCAGCTATCTCACGCGGTTACGTTTTTGGGACAGCTGACGTCACAGGATTTGCCTGCCCCCTCCCCCACCCCACTTCCTCGACCTTTTTGCTCTGCCCAGCGGCCCGAATTGCTCTCGCCTCACTTTTCCGGCGGCCCGATAACGAGAAAGGTCTCTCGCGCGGCCTGATTTCGTTCGGCTCATACGGGAATGCTTGCTACGCAGGCTAAGATTGCAGGCTAACTCTCTCCCAAGATCCTTCTCATATTTCTCGCTCACCACAGATAGGACGCGAAGGGACTGGAAATTGTCACTAACCACTCTCAACAATTTTCGGAAATGTTATATTCAAGGCAAGACATCAATTCACGTTTCCCTTTCATTTTCAGAATATAGACATTGCGCCCTCTTTTCAAGATAAACACGACATATGGAATCCCCGAAACGACAGCATACCAAGTGACCAGAAAGAATCGGTATACTTTTTCCGAAGAAAAAGAGGAAGTGACTATTCTTCAGCGAGATAACATTAACCAAACTATGTTAATTTAATATTCCTAAAGGATTCTCCCTTGGTCTCGAGGAAACGTTTCCCTCACGAAAGTTAATACGCTTTATAGACCACGGCTTCTGTTACGCTCAGTACCTCTTATATAGTAAACTACGAACTACAGAGTCTGGTTATGTTTCACATCGCGATGCATTTTCAGAGTTTCGATTTTCAGTCAACGACTGTAGTCCTTGATTTGTGGTTCATATCGTCATGTTTGTGATTAACCTTCAGTTTTCATTTCATAACTTATTGATAAATATTTTCTTATTTGAAGTTCGAAGTTGTTACATAATTCCAGCCTCTTTCAAGTGACGAAATTTTCTCGCACCCTAGAAGTAACTTGTTTATAGTTTGTTTGTAAAATTTGAATGTATATTTTTAAAGTTTATCATGATAAAAGGTTGTACAGCTGCGAATGTAAAATAAAGAAACTTTGTGGCTTGGAACCATCGATTGGGAACGTACAAAGGGCTAGAGTAATTTTTAACCTAGTATTTCCCGCCCCTTTGCCTTGCGTAACTTTGAAGTGATGGCAGTCTGTTTACTTTGGCAGTGGAAGACTATATACTGCTGGTGATAAGGGGATACATAAAACGTGATATGATCCGCACCGTCAATATTTAAAATAAACTTGCAATTAGCGGCCTGAATAAGCCCGTTACAGTCTGATTGTCTGGCAGGTTCGATAAATCAATTTTTGAGAAAATGACAACAGGCTATTAACCGAGCCCGGAGGTTCCTTAATTCTTGATGTCTCTATTGGTTGCCCTGGAAACGAAGTTGGCGCACCTCAAGGCCTGGCCGAGCGAGGGGTTATTCCATGCGTGAGTCTACTTTCTTTGCCAAGAATTGTAAATGAGAGTGTTGGAGTGGGGGCTTTTCATATAAAACTTAGTTGGGTGTCAACACCCCCACCCCCTTTTGTCACGCAATAATCCACAAACACGTACAAACTTTGTGTCAACTAGCCTCGCTCTGATGATTCAGCCGACCTCGCTTTGATGGGAAAAAGTGCCAAGTTGTAGCTTTGGAGTTTAGAAAATCACAAGAATGGCGTTCAAGCTTGAGTTGACATGGTGTTTTCTAAACAATTTGCGGGCACGATTTACCTGAGGTGATTTTATATAACTGATAGCTTGATTTCTGTGGATGGCGTGTTAGTGAAAGAGGATAATTAATTTACTGCCAGACGAAACAAATGGCTGAATTAAGCAGACTGAAAAAGTTTATGCTCTGTACATTTGTCGTAGCTATAGTATCATTCGTGGTGATGTTCTACTACTCTGTGAGTTTTTCAAAATACACAAGACTAGGTATAAAGTATGTTACTACGATAAAGAATGGAAATCTGGGTAGAGACCCTCACGTACAAACTTTGTTATCGAACGATTCCCTGGCGTCGTCTTCGAATCTCTCTTACACGGGCGCATCCAAGGAACGAAATGTCAACGTTGTCAATTCCATCGAACCTAGTGTACGTTCACAACCAACCGAGAAGAAATCTATAATTCCTGAAGATAAAACAGCTTTACAGAGTACTGGCAACAGCTCGAACAGTGGATCAACAGATGGCTTGTCTGCAGAAGCTATAAAACCANTTGCGACTGTAGTGCTAAGGAAACAGTTAAATTTTAAAAGTGCGGTTATAAGATCTAACAGATCTTCTTCTTGAATTTATTCCTATTCAACATACGATAATTGAAATAATTCAACTGAAATAAGAATTCATGTACATTCTATCATCACAGCTACAGATGCAGTCTTTCCTTGGGGCAGTTAGTTAGGAAAATATAAAAAGTAAATTTAAAGAGTGTAACTGGCACTTTGTTGTGTTACAAAGCAGGCAGTGAAAGGATGGAAGCATGAGAGAATTGTCGAGTAAAACATTTGTTGTTTAATAGCAGGTCATTGTGTAGCATTTTGCGGGAGCTTTTCTCAGTTTACATTTAGGAGTATTTCCACTCCCGCCTCCCCTCTCTTTGGGTGGGGTGTTACAATCCTGGCCAAAATATAACAGCATTTCAATTTTCCCCTCCCCCTGGATAGTGTTCTGTGTCAGGAGTCATAGTATTCTACAGTCAAAGAACATTGCTTAGGAAATTTTCCCTCCTTTTCTTTCGAGAACAAAGGGAAGTGTCCCAAACCCTCTTGGCTAGGATTGCATTCCATCACAGGGTACCAGTGTGACTTGCTACAGAACACAATGCAATAAACCTGGCCAGACTACTTTATCTGACATCCATTGTGTTATCCAATGGTTAATTGCACTTCCTATCTGTTTTTTTTTTTCTCTCGGGTGAGGTGGTAGGGGGTGGGGGGAAGGAGTGTTAATTGCAACAAGGCTGCTAGATAGAATCATTGTAAATTTAAATACATACTATTTTGTTTGAGATTGTGGTTAAGAAAATGATCTCTTATACACTGTAGTAAATGACTTCTGATATGAAATCGTTTGATCTTTGTTATTTCAGTTGGACCTTTATATGTAGACACAAGTGTTCCTAAAATGGAAGATGTTGAAAAACAATTCTCCAGTGAATTCAATGGTTGGGTTGATAAGGGAGGCTGCTGGAAACCAACTGAATGTAAAGCAAGAGTTAAGGTGAGGTTTTAGATTTATGTATAGTTTTCTGTTCTCCCAAGAATTAATTAATTTTTATTGTGATCTTTACATATTATCTGTAACTAAGTAATTTATTTTCACTTCATTTCTCATTTTCCAACAGATGGTCCTGATAATTCCATATCGCAATCGTTTTGAACAGCTGTCAGTATTTTTGCGGCATATGCACCCTATTTTCAAGAGACAATATCTGGACTACAGGATCGTGGTTGTAGAGCAGGTGCGTTTCATATGCGTTTCAATTCTTTACCAAGGTCCAAAGATCTGGAATTCCCTTCCTGTTACAATCACTTCATTGTCAAGTTTTCACAATTTTAAGACTGCAAGAGTTTTTAGTAAAATAGTTACTGAACTGGCAAAGCCACACACTGTTGCACTATTTATGTAACCGTACTGTTACGTACGAGGTGGCCTCAACTAAAAGCCTGACGGTTTCTAGAGGTCACCTCGCCTCACATTAAAATATTTATAAATACTGTACTTTAAGTAAAAAGGCAAAATAAACAGAATGAATGAATGAATATGGGTAAACTGTAAGAGAGCTACATGTACATGTATTACATGTCTGATGGATTATCAGTCTATCTGGCTTGTAGACATCAGTTTGAAAGACTGTTATTTGTCAGAGTAAGAGGGGAAAATGTTGTTAAATGCTGAATGTTTATAATGGTCAATGCACTTAGCTACAGCTAGCTAGTTTTCAGGCATGCCACGTAAACTGAAAGAAACAAAATAATTGATATTGCAAATAAACATAACAGGCTTAAAAATCCAAACTGGTGGGAGGCAGACCAGTTGGCTATTTACAAGCATGACTGATGAGTTGAACTGGGGTCTACATTTACCAAGAAACAACTCCAGCTTAGTGTTCAGAGAGGTACTTGAACCCTCGACCTCCAGATTTTAGATCTGGCACCCTAACCACTCAGTCATGCTGGGAGATCCCCAACATGTTTTAATGGTGATGACTTTCAAAACTATCGTTCTAACCCGTGTGCGTGGTGTAATATTAATATTGGGGGGCCTTTAGATTGGACTTCAAGTAGGAGATTGAGTCTGAGTGTGATTTTCAAATTTCAAATCAGTGTCATGTCCAGAGCCCTCGCTCTTCATGTTTGTTTCAGGTAGATGGGGTTACTCATGGGATGAGATGGGTACATGTACATGTATGTGACATGATGTTTAGCCTGCTACCTAAATTTGAAAAGTCATACTCATAATTGATCGTGTACCCATACTCAAATCTTAAGTCCCCTATTAGGTTCTCACTGAGAGTTACTGCGCTAATCCTGCAACAAAGTTCTTGATCCTGATTGATTCTCTGCATTCCTAATTCCTTGTGTCATACAATTCAGGGAGTAATCATGCTTGTAATTTCAAATCGGCCTCACACTCATCCGATTTTGAAATTACTTGCATGATTACTCCCAGAATTGTACTTCACTTGGTCCAGTTACTATAATTATAATTACTAATCAAATGCTTTTAATTTCAATTCAGCCTCGCTCTTTGCGCTCTACCAAGTTTGAGATTCCTTGGCAATGTGTGATTATTCCCTGAATTGTGCTCCATTCAGTCCAATTACTATGTATAATTACTCATCATAATTTATTGTAAAATGCAAAACTAGTGCTGTCTGATATTTCTTTCAACAGACAGGAGATACTATCTTTAACCGTGCCCTGCTGTTTAACATTGGCTTTAAAGAAGCGCTCAAGTTTGACCAGTACGAGTGTTTTATATTTCATGATGTGGACTTGATACCAGAAGATGATCGTAATGAATACAGCTGTCCAACGTCGCCCAGACATCTGTCTGTAGCGGTGGATAAATTTAATTATCAGTAAGTATTGGACCAAATGATATCTTTTCTGAATGAAAGAAATTCATTTAAAATTCAGTTAATCAACGACTGATGAATGGTGTACAAAACCCCATTTTATATTGTAAACCATCATGAAACTTGATACATACTGCACATCGTTGGCCTGCTTCTGTTCGGTTTCTTTTTTCTTGTCTTAGGTATTTCAATGATACAGTAAAGCATTTTTTAAAGATACAAATGTTGTACCCCCGAAAAAAAGTAGTCATATTACACCTCTACCTCCCCCATAATGGCCACCTCTCTAAAACAGCCACTTTCATCTCTCCCCAAGTTAGCCATTGTAGAGAGGTTTGACTGTAATCCCTTTTGTCCTGGAAAGGACTTTTGGCTAGCCATGATCACTGATTGCTCATCAGTGAAAGTGTCAACAATTCAGTTAAGGGCATTCACTAGCAAAGGAGACAAAGTCATATTTACAGTTGGAATAGTAAGAGGACTTAGGACTGAGAGAAAATTTTAAAAATCAGACTCCTAGATGGAGTCATAAGCATGACAGAATCGGAATTGGAAGAATCAGAAATTTTCAGTTTTCTTCTGATTCACCTTACGACTCCTTTTCCTTATGATTCAGTCTGTGACAATTACATTATTGGAGTTGGAAAAAGAAGTGGAATCTAACCAACCAATCACTATGCTAGAAATTTCTGCTTGTGACACCAAATAAGCTCTTAAGCAATGGAGTCATAAGTGGAATTAGTATTTTGCTTCCAACTAAGTTGGTTTGAGTCTCACTAGATTGTCTTGATCATACTGGTCTGCACTTCTGCCCTCTGGTTGTGCCTCATCTCTGTCACCACCTTAACATGTAGAAGAAATTTTTACTTAGAGAGAGGGATGAAGGAGCTCCACTCCCCTTCCCCTCTCCCCCATGATCCCTTACAGGGGACATTCCTTCTGTGCTTACAAGCATTAAAATATGTGGTTGCAATATATTATTGTATTAATTTTCTTATAATTTCATTTCTTCAGTTTGCCCTACACAAATATCTTTGGAGGAGCTGGTTCATTTTTAAGGGAACACTTTGAACTTATAAATGGATTTTCAAACAAGTTTTGGGGATGGGGAGGTGAAGACGATGATCTTTTTAACAGGTAATTGTATAAATTTTGCTTCCTGTTTCTTAATTCTATTCTCATAGGTTGAATGCATATGATTAACAAACTCTATAATTATGTTTTATTAAATAAATGAGATACTACGCACACTCTCATTGGTTGATACCTGTAGGTGTATTTAGTTGAGAGTATGTAAACATGGTTGTGACGTTTTAGATTTGCGCATACTCAGGAGGTTGGGAGAATTCTTGAAAGTTAAGCAAACCCTTGACTGCATCTCAGGTTTGCATAACGGTCTTGAATTCTCACAACTTCCCTTGTGTTTAGATGAGGCTATGTAAACAGAGGAAAATTGCTAAATATAAGTAACGATTTTCCCTCCTGATTCAAACTAACTCGGTCACTATTAGTAAGTAAATTATAATTTACACTAGCAAGGCTGCGCTATCAAACTCAACATTAATCAGGCATTGTTATCCAGTGATGCATGCTCATATTGTGAGCGAAGTTAACTTTTGCTTTGCCAAAGAAATATTTTCTTGTGTGCAGTGAGTGGTCATCTTCATACATTTTCCGTACGCATGCTGCACCCACTGTGGTGCAAAAAGGGGAAGTATAGATAGTGACCTTGTTTGCTGACTTTGATCTTTCAACTGTTGTTATAGAATATCTGCAAAGCAGCTCAAGCTAACACGACCATCAATGCAATTAGGAAGGTATAAAATGATCAAGATGTTTCATCACAGTAGCCAGCCTGATCCAGATCGGTAAGTGGATGCTTCCTTCATATACAGGAGGGCAGATTTCAAGTGTTGCAATTGCAACTGCTTTAAATATTCTTTCTCCGTTCGATTTGACAATATTGTCCGCAAGTGGAACAATTTGCTTGCAAATGTTTTAGAGGCTGGTAACCCGAATCTTTTTAAGAGAGCTCTAAATTTGTTTTTACAAATTTTATAATCTAAATTTTTAAACTTTGAGCAATTATTTGTATTTGTATATTATTTGCAATGGGAACTTAGCATTAGCTGTTAATTAATACATGTTTTATTTTAGAGTTTTTTTTTGCATACGTAGGGTCTGCGTCTTTAACCCCTGAGTAGTCTTGTAGTATGTATCTGAAAAGGTTGTTATAAGTGATCTCCAGTGTAGATTGTTCTTATGACATTGTGTTCGTGTAGCAAATAGAAGGAAATATTATAAGTAAGCAGTTGACCAGTACTGCTCTTGACAGTGCAATATTACCAACCTACCCATGGTTAGAAAGAAACTGTTATGATATTGTAATATTCATC